CCAGAGTTCGAGGAGAACGGAAGCAACCTTTTTTTTTTTTTTTTTTTTAACTTTTTTCAACCCGTATCTTTTAAACAACTTTAGCCCTAACCATTAAAAAAATAATAAATAAAAAATCAGATGTATTTCCCTTTTTATGCCAGTTTTTATGCAACATGTCATATTTATTGATGAAGTGTCGGTCCAAAAAGCGGAAAAATACGCCATTTTCACCTCCTTTTTGTGTCTTGTCCTCTACCAAATCAAATCCCATCAAATTCATTCGTTCATAATATATTAATTTTATATATAATCATATAAAATCAGAAGATATATGTAAGATAGGAATAATTTACAAGTGTTTATCCACCTCTAACCAAAATATGACCGTGATTACGCTGATTGCATAAGGACCTGTTCATCCTCATGCATGTCCATCCACAAAGTTGAAATTGTCCAAATGTCCCCCTCTCTTTGTCCCACACTGCAGAACTTGGACGTCAGATTCTCGGCTGTAAAAACTCACGTCATGCCCGGTTCTAAACATGGACGCAGATTCTCACCCGTGCACACACGCAGGAGCACACAGACTTCTCCTTCCACACATATCCCACTCTTAGACATCCATATCTAGTGTCATGTAAAGTTTCCTTCATTTCTGATGATGTTTAGTGGATGAATCTTCAAACTCTCTCAGTCCATGAATGAAGACTTGCGTGCTCAGCGGCACTGAAGGGGTTAAAATGATGTGCGGCTCAGTCTGTTGTCTCACTGTGGGAAAGTCAGATTTAGAGCCCTGCTGATCGACTGACTGCAGAAAAAAGGTTGTAATATGTTGTTATGGTGCCGTAAACACATGCTCAGAAAACCTGTTTTTAATGGAAGTCTATTGGCAGATTTGTGGACAAAGGAGGGTGGGTGGAGCTAAAATGCAGCGACGGAGAACAACAGGTGACACGGAGGTTTTGTTATTTTTTTTTAATATGAAGAAAAATAAGATCTCTCACCAAATTTTGAAAATGTGACTGTCAGCTCAAAATAAAGATGAAAAAAAAGACAAATGCCCTCAAAACGGACAGACAGGACAGGATATAGAGATTAGGGGTCGACTAGTTTCTTTATTTAATCAGCTCTCCTCTAAACTCGCACACCTAGCCTCCCCCTCCCCCCCGTGCTGTTCGTGTCTTCTGTCGGGGTCGCTCTCCGCACATATGTTTGTATGACATTAAACGCATGAGCAGTCATCCTCATTTTCATATTTTAACAGGCTTATGGGTCTAATGTATGCGGTTGTAAGCACATTAAGCTAATTAATGTAAACTGGATGCTTGAGCTGTCATGAACAGGGAGCCTGCGCTTCTTCCTGCAGGTTTTGTGACGGTAAACTGGATTTCCTCGAAGAAACAGACCGGAGACAAGAAAAACACGACCTGTGACATTTTCCTGTGAATAAATATTATTAGACTCAACATGTGTTCCTCGGTTCGTTTACTCCGAAATGAATTCACTTTATTTCTCAGTAATTGGAACAGAGTTCAGAGATGACAGAAGAATAATGAAACAGAGACAAACACATGTTGACCAAAAACAAACTGAGTTTACAGTCTTAGTTTGATTCGTGAACTCTTCAGGACCATCCAGTCTTGGTTTTGGTCCTTGTCCCTTTGGCACAGAGATTTCTCCAGACCCAGTCTTTCTTCCGCAGCCTCTCACAGAGTGCCGAACCTCTCTTTTTATACTCAGTCATGTGACTAACTTGTTAAATTGTCCTTATTAGACAGCGGATGTTTTAAGAGTCGCACAGTTTGGTCCTGAGAAATAAAAAAACACTTCAAGCTTCTCCTTCGTTAAATTCTGATCAGCAGATATTTTCAGAGATGATTCTATCACCGCGGAGAGCCGACTCAACATTCATACCAACATAGAGGCTGTACAGTAAGCACTTGAAATATGACCCAAACCCAAATGCACACCTGTGGAGTGAAGGCCGACTCAGTGAAACAGAGAGAGGGAAAGAAAGAGAGCGAGCGAGCGAGCAGGCGATAAGAACGCCATTGGAGATGGTGAGAGGGTTGTAACCGAGAGGCACTAAAAGCTCTGAAACCCTTTGTGTGGGTGTGTGTGCGAGAGAGAGAAAGAGAAAGACTGTGTGCGGAGTTCGGGGCTCCATTATCGCAGCGTCAGCGTGCACAGGCCTGGCGTCGGGGGGTCTAAAGGATCACACAAAGACGGTACTGTGAGGACAGGTGGGCTGAACACAGTTATTCTGTCTATGAACACATACCGTTCAGTCAGCCAGCACTCTGAATCACATGTTTCTGTCTTTGTGTTGAGTTCATCTCACTCTGATGGACAGACCTTCTCAGCAGACTTTGACTTCAGGACCCTGACAGTGAAAACTCAGTTTCTTATCTGTTCACAGATTAGCAGGATCTCTCCGAGCGCCGCCAGATTTCCATTAAAGGATCCAGTTTTTCTTCCACCTACTAAAGTCTTGTTGTTTTGGGCGCTTTAGCTCAGCAGTTAGATTACAAGCTCCATGTACAGAGGCTATGGTCCATGACGTAGGTGCTTTGATTTTGGCCTTTGCTGCATGTTTCTCACCCCAAATTTCCACCACATGCTGACTGGCGGTGGAAAAAGGCCATTGGCGCGGATCGCCGCTGATCATTTCCAATCAAGTTAATGTGTCAATTTCCACTGGTTTCTTTCTGGCCCCTGCGGTTCTGTGGGCTTCGTAGCTGATCGCAAGAGCTCTATTTTTTCTGGACGCTGCAGCTTGCTGCGTAAATTCAGCACAGATTAACCCGTGCTGGAAAGGAAGTCAGGCACAGACCCAAAACAAAGCATTCAGCGTCTTTTCAAAATAAAATACTTCATGTTTTAGATGGATCATATTTCACACCATCCAAATGTGGGCGAGGACAAACAAGATAACGATAAATACTCTTACCCATGGTTGATTCCCAATCTCCACTAAAGTGTCTGATCTACTGGTCTGGACAGAGTGGATTTCCTTCCCTGGAAGGACACGATCTGCTGCTTACATGGTTATGTGGTTGTCTTCATAGAGACAACTCGTTATCACGTAATTGCATGTGAATTCGCAGGTTCTTGTGAGTTCTCGCGATTCCTGATGTCTGAAATTTGCCTCACAAACGTATCTGGTAGGAAAATCGCCCCTGTTCTGCAGCACTGAGAATTTGGGGTCAGTCTAATCCCTCTAAACGCCTTTTTTTTTTGGTGCTCCTTTTTGACAATGTGGTCCCGGTCTGTAACAGTCTTATCCGTCACTTCTGGAGATAGTGACCTTCGTCCAAGGTCGGTTAAGTTCATCTTCTGCAGGAGATCTCAACCTTTAACATCTGTGACATGCAGCAGTACTTGGAAAAAGAGAATCACTGATAATGATTTTATTTAAAGGAAAAAACCATCTGGCTGTTGAACTTTCCAGCAGACAGGAAGTTTAGTGTGAACGCAGCAGCATGTGGAAGCTCTTAGAAATCAGCTCATCCTGAATAAACGGATAATTTCATGACTGACAGACGTGCTTCTCCTTTCATGGAGCGCGACCTCCCTTTGACCCCAACCTTTGTGATTAATACGATGACATTTTTATCTTTTTGTCTTTTAATCTTCACCTCGGGGTGAAAACTGATGATTCAGATGAAAACAGGAGCATTGAGCACGTCTGACCTTGAGACGGTGATCATTTATTAAAACGTCAAACTTCGTACTTGTTTCTTTTTCCTCATTTTTCCCTCACACTTCTCTCTCTCTCTGTCCTCGTTGCCGTGTCTGTCTTTGTGCCACCATCCTCTCTTCTTAATCCTGCAACAGCTGAATCCCACTTTATCCCTCCTCCAGTCTATCTGCCAAGTCTGTCTATCTCCGCCTGGCTCATTGTCCTGTTCCTCATGTCTTCCCTCTCTCATCCACTCTGTCCGTTTGTCCTGTAAATCCCACTTGTTCCCCTACTGTACCTCTCACGGCTCGCTCTCCCCTTTCTTTGTGTACCTGACTGAGCCTGTTGAAACCGAGGGCCGTGCTGGCTTAACTTTAATTGATGCATCGGATGGAGGAGAGGAAGAGGAGGGGAGAAGAGGGGGAGGCTCAGGGCTGACAAGGTTAATTCTGTTTTTCCAAGCTCCTCGTCACCTGGCGGCAATTAAACTCATGACATCGCTCCCGAGGGAAAGAGACACTGAGAAAAGTGGGAGAGAGAGAGGGGGAGATAGTTTCACAGAAACCCGTTCAAAGGCGGTCTCAGACAGAAATGTGCCACAGGAAGACTGTGAGGAGCAAATGAGATAAATCAGAGCCGTGCTGCTGCTGCTGCTTCTCTGCAATAATGAAGAATTGAAATTCAAGAGGATTACGCTCGTGTTGATATTGACGGTTTCTTCCAGGGATGCTCTCCTGGCGTGTTGTAATTGGGGGATGAAGGTTGACAATGAGAGATATGAGCAGTTCTGTTCAGAATTAATCAACTTTGTTTTATTAAAAAAGACCTGAAGGTGACGGAAAAATACAAAAAAAATCTACTTTTAATCCAAATAAAATTGCATTTATTCGATGTACATTCAGGCGATCTATTAATATAGCAGCGATACATGATGTTTTCTCTTCCTGTAAAGTCAGAACCACCTGAGGAAACGTTTGGGAATAACTGCTGAGAGAGAAACGGAGATTATATCAGTCTCATGATTATATATTAAACTCTGCATCCCTCTCAATAACTTGTCAAATATTGATGGACTGATATCCGGGCTGAATATGTAGCTCAAAAGTCTGCACAGACCGGTGCTGACCCAGTCCAATCCTGCGCCCTGCGCCTCATTTAGCACCCAGAGTTTGCATCTTACCTGGGATTTCCACCGCATCCAGAAGGGCAGCAATTTTCGCTGTACGCCAATTCCTACTGGATCCATTTGTGAGGCGAATTTCGTGACGGATTACAGACAGCAGGAATTGTGAGAACTCACAAGAACCCACGGATTCATGTGCAATTGCGCGATAACAAGTTGTCTTTAGCAACACAGGCTAACCATATAAGCAGTAGATTGTGTCCTTCCAGAGGAGGAAATCTACTTCTAGACTTCTAGAATCAGCATCTCCTCATCCATGGTGTCATCGGGGTGAAATGACGTCTAAAAACCTTTCACTTGTTCATCTCTGCCTGTTTGCATGGTGTGAAATACGATCCTCCTGAAACACGGAGTTTTATTTTGAAAAGCGTCTGCTCCCTAGATGAGGAAATACTGGTGTATGTGTTTTTCTAAAGGAAAAAGAAAAAACAGATGTACGCAGGATCTCCGTTTATCAATAGACAGTTTTGCTTTTATTACACATTTCCAAGAGGCGGTAGTCCGGCTGTCATAAAGTATGAGTCTGGTCCTTCCCAAGGTTTCTGCCTGTTGAAAGGAAGTTTTTCCTCGCCACTGTGAGATGGGTTAAATCTGTCCCATCTTATGGTTGGGTCTTGATAATTCATCAAACAATGTGCGTGCTCTAGACCTGCCCCTTATCTTTGGAAAATGTCTTGGGACAACGACTGTTGTGAATTGGCGCTATAAAAATAGAATTTGATTGATTTGAAATCCCCTTTGATAAGTAGCGATAGATTGCTTCGTAAAATTCGTCCAAGAACTACAATCCGATGAAACCTAATCCGGCGAAAATTGCTTCCGTAATGTCCGGACCAACCAGGATAATCATGGCTAATCATCATCAATAGGCGCCGGACCCCGAGCCGAGCCGGCAGCCTGAACACATCTAGTACCTACACCGGGTTTTAGGAGTCTGTGGCTTCAGTAGCTTCTCAATATTAAGAGATTAAAAAAGGTATCCGAGCTCTCAGCCGTGCTCCTACTATCAGTGTTTTTGCTGATCCAGTGAAATGGACTTTTTATTGGGTCCGACGTCTTGTTGATGAGAGTATTTTTCCTTGTCTCCTTGCATCACGATGCTGCTCACTATATCTCCTCGTACTTAAAGCTGCTTCATTTATCAGATCCACTTAAATCAGCCTCGTTCCCCCCGAGAGAACAGACCGAGGTTCTCTCTTCAGACCATCAACTGGAGAAAATCCAAAACTCTGTGTATTTTAGTTCATGTAGACCCCAAATTTAGTCCAAACTGGGCTTTGATTGAAACTCTGCCACTCCTGACGTCTCTCCAGCCAAACCAAACAGCGTATCTCTGAAAAGTTGAACCGCTGCCACGACTCTGAATTTGTGGTCGTCCAGCTTTGAGAGAAAATACGATCAAATAATCGGTGTCAGATTAAGACCACAACCCAGCGGTTACATGACGTCGACTACAGCTCACAGAAAATGAATCCGGCCTCTGTTGGCACATTATTAGTTTCTCACACAGGCCCGGCCAATCAGCAGCCAGCTCCTGTACTTACCCAGCATCCATCATTCTCTGGCATTTTAGCATTCCTCTTGTTCCAGACACAACACACAATGGCAGCACAAACTGTGTTGTTCTGCGCCTCAGAAACAAAACAGAGCACCACCCATGGACAACATTCAGGTGGAGGGAGGGGGGAGATGGATGTGAGAGGGAGAGAGAGAGAGAGAGGCTGATGTGGTAATGTGGTGGAGATAAGGAATGATTAAAGAGGCAGCCACAGAGGCAGACATGCTGAGTTGATCCAGCTAACTGTTCACTCATCAGTCTCCTAATGGTCCTGAGGGTGAGAGTGGGGGGGTAGAGAGACCATTGTTTCAACATGGGTCTCCAGATGTTACAACATGGCTTCCCTTTTTTCCATTCTTCTTCTTCTGCTTTTATTTTCTCTGCCCTCTTTCGGTCAGCTGTGGAGTGTGGGCAAAGCGTTCAGGACAGTTTCAGTCCAACTTCGGTGTTAATTTAGAAAAGAGAATCGAACCCCAAACACACGATCTACTCTGCAGAAAAAGGATCTTGCATCAGAGCTTTAATGTTGGTGAAAATACTAAATTAGATCTCAGATTTCACTTTGACTAAAGTGTTTTTACACTGTGTCTTAAAAACTGATGGATTTCAGCTGCAGATTGAACGAATTATCCAGTCTTTACGACATCCTTTCAAGGGATATTCTGGTGTAAAATTAATTTAGGGTCAAACACACCGTACACCAAGTTAGACACCCCCTCGAGAGATGAATGTTGCCGCCTGCTTGCTTACAAAGCAGTCTGAGGAGCCATAAACTAACCTCAACCAAAACGCCACTCTAGAGCCACAAATAATGCTCAGAACAGCACCTAACCTAAACTCCTAAGAAAACATAAACTTAAGCAGGGGCATTTCTCCACCTCTGTAGTCTATAAGCTGGGCCAAAAAACTTCTACTGTAGTTAAAATGAAAAGGTAAGGGGGATTTTATTGAGCCGAATTATCAATAAAATCATGATTTTGTTAACAGGTATGGATATATGTGCTGTCGAGTTAGTATATGTGAACAAGAGCACAGTAAAGTTAAATCAGCTGATTTTCCAATGAGGTTCTGTTACTAAACGAAAGTACACCATGTTTTACTCAGGTTAGTACATATCGGGTCACAGCCACAGTACTAGACACCAAACATCTTTTTAACTTTGACTCATTTCTTTAGCAAAGAGACTAAACACATCTCACCTACTCTCTTCCAGCAGACGCTTGTTTGTAGTGAGACCTCAGGCCAGTCTATTATGGACTACAGCGGGGGGGGGGCAGCTCAAGGAAGAACATTTATGATCATTTCTGTAGCAGACGTGGTAGTTCTTCTGTCTTAGCGTCTCTGTCCGATTGTATTTCCATGAAGAAATGATCATAAATGTTCTTCCTTGAGCTGCGGCACCCCGCTGTAGTCCGTAATGGACTTTATTTCTATCCTGCGGTTGTTACTAAAGTTGGTATAACTCGAGAAGAAAACTGTCGGCAACAGGGTTTCTGACTTGGTTATCCCTTAACATCCTTTTATAATATCATTTGTAAGATCACAACAGCCTCTCACTCTGTCATACTCACGTCCCTTGGCTTTTCAGACGCATACAGATACAGACATCTGCCTCCTCCTCTTCCTCTCTCCACTCCTCTGGTAGCTTGTACTGCTGTTGCACATCATGTTGAGGATCCAGCAGGTTTGTAGACAAACACGTTATCCTGGAAATAAGCAAAAACAGGTACAAAGATTTGAGAGTTTTGCAGTGACGTCTTCACCTCATCAGCTGAGCTTTGACACCGATCCTCTGGCCTTTAGTGCATATTTTTTTTCGGCTCTCTTCTCCCTCTTCCGTGTCTCTAATCTGAGCTGGAAATGAATGAATGAATGACTGATATCCTCTTGTAGATCTCAGGGTTTACCTGTCCAGTGTGTCTTGCCGTGAGGCTCTCCTACCCCGTACATTTAAATAATCTTACAATCTGTTCTCAGCATACGGACACCTCAGTGTGATATTCGTCACATACAGAGATCAAACCCACGACTCTTCAGTCCGTGGGCGGACATGCCGGGCCGTGAGAACGAGCCCTTTACCTTTGGATTTAGTCCAAATGTCATGATTAAAAACCTCGTTATCCTTTTCCTCCTCAGCTGGTCCATCCAGTCCGGGCTTAGGTCCTCAATCAGGACCGCTATTGTTCTGTTCCCACCTGACTGCAGGAGATAGAGCGCTGGGGAGGAAGGACCAACTTGAGACCCGTAAAGCACTCCCTAATGGAGACGCTGAATGAGTTTTCTCTATTGTCGCCAGCTTGTCGGATTAAACGAAGCTAAACGATTAGGACTCGTGCATATTGCTCTGTAATTGTGGCGTGCATTGTAAAAGCTGTAATTGCCCAATCAAAATCAGCCGCTGTGTGATTTCAGAGAGATGAATTACCGACCCAAACAAGAGAGTCTGAGTTTTTCAGTCCTGGTTTGGCCTTAACTTGTTATTTTAGGGCCTTTCTTCTCCTCTTCAAGTGGACTAACGCGACAGTGGGGCTGTTGTTCACAAGGCCAGCATTCGTCTGAATATAGATCTCTCTCTCTCTCTCTCTCTCTCTCTCTCTCTCTCTCTCTCTCTCTCTCTCTCTCTCTTTGTCCATTCAGGAAGATGGGAAAGCAAAGAAAACACCAAGAATGGCCATCCCGGGTTTTTCCAGCCATTAAAACATTCCTAGATGCCTCGAATGACAAATCCTCCTCGAGGTCCGCTGAACTTTAAGTGCTGACAAATGTATTCCTCCGTACAAAGCTATGATTGACATCTCCTATAATTCTATCCTCCGCCCCATTAAAATACCATAAGTGCTTTCATTGAGTGGGTATAGATGAGGCGAACAAGCAGGGGGAACATGTCATCCGAGACCATCCACTCCAGGCGCTGCATGGCACAGATAATGTCTTTTTACTGTCTAATAATGGGCGAATCGACCTCCTTTGTTGGAGACGAGATGGGAAACGCTTCCTTATCCAAGCAGCCAGACGAGGTGTCAGAGTTTCAGCCGCTTCCTCTCTCTCTCTCCTCATACCTGAACAATCTGTTTTAAATTATGGGGTAAAGTCAGAGAGCAGCGCTTCGTGTCCTCCGTGTGTTTGTGTGAAGACGTTTTGGCCTCCTGAAGAAGAAGAAGAAGAAGTAGAAGAAGAGTTATTTCCAGGAAAGGGTCCAGCGTTGGTTTGGGTTCGATGGAAGAGTGTCTTTTAAGGTCTCGAAATCCTGGCTGGAGGTAAACGAGTAATCGAACACGGGATGTATTCTCATGAATCAGGAGCATTCATTATAAGTTAAAAGTCTTTTTTTGTCTACAATAACATAATCCAGGAGGAATTTCCTTTCTGTGGATGATTTATGAAGAGTGAAAACAGACGGCTAACACCGTCTCCCTGAAGAAGGAAGACTTTGGCAGATATACAGCAGGGCCTGTTTTTAACATCAGCTTCCTCTGGTTGACTGATCGGCTTGTTGTCTTTCACAGCAGGATGTCTTGTCAGTCAATGAAGGTTTTTATGTTTGTTTTAATGAGGGTGACCATGTGCAAGCTCTGCTATGTTGTCTTACACCACCAGCTTTGAGTCCGTCGATGTTGGAGACGGAGGAAGACGGGTGTAAAAGCTCTTCCTTATTTTTAGTGAATATAAGGAAAGAAAAGTGAACAAATCTACATATATTTTACTGTCTTCACATACCAAGCGTGAGTTTAATCATTCGCACGACTTAAATACATGTTAAGTCAATGCAAAGACACGATTAGACGCTCCCACGACTCTGGCGGTGCAAATGACGTAATTTCGAGAGTTGAAAGTTTCTCAACTTGAGCGGATATTTGCAATGCAACACTGATCGTGTCGGTGTGTTGGTGCCCCGAATTATATGATATCTTTTCTTTCAATTACCGAAATTGGAATAAAAAGGAGCTTGCATGTAGAGGGAAGTAGGTGAGAAGTTTGGATTAACTGGTAAATTGTAAAAATCTTATCACTTGATCCCGCTGGTTGAATTGACAGGGATTATTGTTGAAATCAGCATTAACGGCTATAAACAGCTATCCACTTCTTTTGTTTAGATTTGACACGTGAATAAAGCGAGTAAATAATTTTCGCGTGTCTAGATTTGCTTAGTGTAAGCGCCCCATTAGACTATTTCTGCAACTGCATGTAGTTCAGTTCAGCTCAGTTGTACTCAGACTTGAAAGGTAGATGTACAAGACATACATACAAGACATGAAGGTGGAGTTTAATCCCCTCTGAAACCTTGTGGAAACTTTGAGTCATAATATCAGAATTAAGCTTCATTACTGTCTGATCCACCGGTCCATCGAAGTTAACCAAGCAGACCAACAGACACTCAGCTGATGCTGTACTGTGCTTTTACATTAATCCTAAATTAAGGCCTTGGCTTTGTAACCGTTTGAACGAGGTAGTGTTGGATGAAAGTGGCAGTAAAAATGGAAACTGTGCAAACAAACTAATCATTGGGGGTGTGACGATACACTCAGCTCACAAGACCTGGACCAACCTTTGTCTCTTGTTGTTGTTTTGGTTTCTTGAGGTCCGGATGTGTTTGTCAGCGTCGTCTGGCTTGTTAGTGTTTTCTTCACAGGTGCAGTTGTTGATTTGAGTACCGATCTGTGGTGGTGCTGTATATGTCTCTGCATCGTGGTTGAATTATTGCATTATTTTAATTCAATGCTTGCATATTGTCTGTGTCTTATATCATTTCTGCCGGGTACCTGAAATGCTGCCAAAAAAATGTTTTAAAGTGGCGGGGGCCTCTTCAGTTCCGGCTGCTTCTCCTCATCTTCTCGTTTTCCTAGCAAAGGCGCATTACTGCCCCTACAGGTCACAAATAGAAGTTTGGATAGCTCACTAATTTCGCAAGACAGATTTTTAACGTGACAATAACTATTGTCGAGTTTAATCTTGTCACTCCCCTACAAATAACTCACAAACCGACAGCTCTGCAAAGTAGAATTAAATTCAGGCTGGAGGTGATGGAGCGTCTGAAAGTAGTGACCTTATTTAGTGTTTCAGAAAAAGAATAAAAACGACTTTGAGAGTTAAAATGTTTTATTTTCTTTCTTACTTGGTTTGGTTCGAGTATATTGTATAGATGAAATCAACTCTGACTGAACTTGTGATGAAAAAACATTCAACCATCTCCGATCTGCGACGCCAAATCCAAACCTAGTCGTCCAGAGTTTCTCCGGGTCAACATCTATTTACAGCTCTCCACTAACGTATGGATTCCTCATCTATTTTCCCATTTAGATAAATGTAACAATGGCATATTTTCTACTCCGTCATTTAACAAAATGAAGTCATCATGTCCACAGAGGAAACCCGAATCAATACGAAACAAAAGTGGCGATAAATCACATCGGTTAAATTGATCCTCAGAGCAGTGATGGAGTGGGAAAGTAAAGCTTGAGGTCACAGAGCCGTGAAAACGCCGATCTGTCATACGTGGATGTATGGAGGTATTGAATGTGAGAGACAGCCAGACACAAACAATCCTATTTGTCTGCACAGGCTCTTTATTAGTCTGTGGCACCAGACTGGACTCAGAGAACCTCCACCACCATCCCCCCACACAGACACAGACACAGACTCTAAAAACACAGAGGCATGCACACAGCTGTACCTGAGCTCTAAACACTCCGTAAAAGTCCATTTAACATCTTTTTATCGCTCTGACTAGTTTTGGTTCATTGTTTCTGAACTATTTTACATCAGTGACAAAAACATCATCACAAGAGCCAAAGTAAAGCCCTTTTCTGTCTGCATAAAGTCCTATTTAAATAATTTTTTTACTATCTGGTTCTCATGTCATTTATCAGTTTATACACAGACCGGAGTCAGACTCTTATCCCTCTTATCTTCCTGCTTTGACTGTTAAGCAAATTTGACTTTGACTGCTCCTGGCACTGACAGATTTGTTGCAGGATACAAGATTAAGACTTTGCAGAAAAAAATAAGAAATGAAGAAGCTCGGCACAACAGATTAAATCAATCAAAGATTAAAAAAAAGGAGGACTGATAAGTTCGTATTTGACTTCTGTAGAGTTCACAAAAAGATGTAAAAGATGTGATTGATGATTGAAGACACACTGGACCACTAAGTGTTAGGTAAAAGGAAGATTTCCTACATTTCCCACAATGCAAATCACCTATAAACATAACATGATTGCAGTCATCCTTCCTCAGAAATGCAGGTAAAGGTCAGCTGGGAGGACAAATACAGTTTATAGATAAACCAGAAAATATCCGTCTATATTCCCTCGACCATACAAAATGATCTTAGTTTATTATTACTGTTCATAATATTAGACGTTGAGCAGTACAACATATACCACTTATTTAATTTCACCAAAACAAAAGTGCTAATAAATAAAACATTACAAGAACTTTTACTGTTACTCTTTACTGTTGATGTGCTGCCACCTTGGATTATGACGTTGTCGTCAAGTCAGGTTTGGCGAGGATCGCCCGACTTTCCGAGTCGTTCCAGATGAATTTCAGACTCAGAGCTCGGAAATCCTGACTTCTGAGTACAACTAAAACGCAGCATCAAGAATAGCGGAATTAGGGGCTTGGCTAAATCAGCGGACAGGTCAATCTTTTTTCATGTTAGGTTAGGTTAAGTCAATATTTTCGATGAGGCGATGACCGATCGGTGATGTCACAGACAGGTTGGGAGCTATCGTTGCATACTGGCGATCTATTAGTACAAAACTAAATGTCTGAAACCTCAAACTTTAATAAAGGTTTCTATAGTTGACTCTTGAAACCACAGGGATCTTGTCAAACTGATGCTGCAGCCCCGTTTGTAGGATACACATGTAGGAAACTTCCAGGGCGGCAGTAGCTCAGGAGGTCGGGCGGTCGTCCAATAACCAGAAGGTTGGCGGCTTGATCCCCCCTATTGTGAGTCTATCCATTGTGTCCTTGGGCAAGACACTTCACCCACCTTGCTCCCAGTGTGTGTCCTCCACTGGTGTATGATTGTGAGTGTTGTATGGTGGTGGTCAGAGAGGCCGTGGGCGCAAACTGGCGCCATGTTTCGGTCAGTCTGTCCCAGAGCAGCTGTGACTACCAAGGTACTCGACCACCATCGAGATGTGACTGTGAGAGAATGAATGATGTATCCAAAGTAGAGCGCTGTTTCTGTGCTGCTGACTTCCTGAGTTTACAAATGCTTCTGTCTGCTCTTGTCGTCTTGTTTGTTTTTAGTCTTTCTGCTCTTACAGCAGGATCCAAATGTCCCTAAAAACTCAACTCTAATATTTCCTCAGACTTTCAAGTCAACATTACTCAGGTGAAATTTGCCCTTTGTGAGTTTTTCCCCTTCTCAGAGATTTAATATCAGGGAGTGTCGCTTCAGTCTCTGTGTCATTTGCAGTAGTATTAGACTCTGGTTTCAGTGAAAAGTTGAATAAATATCACAGCCAGTATTCCCATCGGACACATCCATCATACCCTGAAAAACAGCCTCCTCCGGCTCATTCATTCTAATGAGTGTCCACCTCACGACACAGAGTAATTAGAGAATTATAAAAGGCCGAGGTGACACTGACCTCATTACCATGAGGAAGATCAAACCAACCACCCGTGACTGATGAAGGACTCCATGCCTCCTCGCCAAGAGATCCACGACTGACTCTGTGTCTGAGGACCCTGACAGACGAACACAGACGAAGACAGCTCGACGTATGCAGCTCTAAACCTAAAGTAAATAAAGAGAGGAGACAAAAAATTCTGACTTATACCAGCGAGCGAAGAGAGAAACTAAGTTATAAAGAGCAGCGTGAGGAAAGGAGACAGGAAACAGCAAAGGTAACAGAAACGAAAGCAGAAACTTTCTCGACGTGTTCAAAACACGAATGTCAAGATTGGAAACAAGCGGAAACAACACACACCATCACACTCAAAGGCAAAGAGCAAACTGGAGACAGAGACGGGGAAAGAGTTTCAGGTGGGGAATATTCCTCAAAACAGAACTCGGAGCACAAAGACGGGATGGTGATGGAAGCAGAGATGGAGAGCAGGCAATCTGTCAAAGTAAGCAAAACGAGTGAAGGGTCCAAAGTCTGAAGGAGAGAAATGAAACGAAAGAAACCTGAGAAACACGACCTTAAGTACGAGTGATTTCTGGGACTCCGGGGATGATTATGTGAAGCACATGCACACCCTGAGTCCACGTGCCAAAAACAGCAGAGGGGATTGGAAATGATTTGAAGGCGATGTGTTCCTGCACTTACTCTTAATGAGGCAATATCCTCTTCACCAAAACATGGCTGCCAGTTTAAACGGCGCTGTTCGCTCAGTCTCGTCTTTGTGGTCGTGAGTTTTTTTTTCCCCTCTTTTGATAGTTTTGTATTTCCTTTCAGACGGCTGAGGAATTTGGGCGATGTGTTCCTTACAAATATGATCACACTGATCCTTTAATTCATCTGTCAAGTGGGAATAAAAAGGCCTTACACAATATCTGCACCTGTAATGAAACCAATACCAGGAATAATGGGCACTTCCTCCTCCAGCTGCGTTTCGAATGTTTGGACAGTCAGCACTTTTGAAAGGAACCGTGTTAGCGGGCTCAAGAGGAACAGCAACGAGTTTCCAACCAGACTCAGTCAAATTACAGTTTTTATTGTCTGACCTTGACTTGCTCTGGAGGACTGAGATCTAGAAACACGAGTCTAGGGTGGAGAAAGAGAAACTATCAGGGGATAAGACCAGCGATTCTGCAGGATCAACTCAATGATGTTGGACAAGGTTTGAGCTTTCATAACCTCCCAGAATTACCCAGCTGTGACACACGCTTGATCCTGATTGGTCCAAAACCCCATAACAACTCTGATTAATACCGTCAATTTAACTCGTAAGATTCTGGCATATTTCACCTCTGCCTGTTGACAATGTGGTAAAAAGTTTGGTTTCAGTTTTCATTAAAGACTTTTTTAGGTCTTTATTTGACAGGACAGCAGGAGATGGACTGGAAATGTAGGAGGTAGAGTCGAGGAATTTGTGCGGTTAAAGAGTCAAACAGCAACTGTCGCAATGAGGACTAAACGGGCTGCATCGGTGAAACTTCTACTTTGTACTTTTAGTTCCTTTAGATTCGTAGTTAACCAGTTTTATTGTATCATATTGTCTTGATTTGTAGTAGGGCTGGGACAATACGCTCTTATCCCGATTCCATTCTTCCACAATTTTTTCGGATGCCAATTCGATTTAAATTGCGATTCTATGATTTTGTCGATTTTCTCAATATTTTGTCTTCATTTTTAACACGAGTGAAACAGTTGAATGATTCTGATCGTCTACTGACTATTCCAGGAAACATAATTCCTTAAAAAATAAACATCACATGTACGTCAGTTTTTAAGATTTATTCTTAAATTTGAAAAAAAAAAAAAAAAATCTATTTTTGAACATAAAAATCAATTTAAAAATTGTTAAACAAAAAATCGTGACACTTATGTGAATCATTTTTTCTCCTGCCCCTATTTTCTGTAGTATCATATTGTGGTAAAAAAAATAAATGAAAATGTTAGTTGAACAAATAAAAAATAATAATAATAATAAAAAATAAATAATACTAATCATAATAAGAAAGCTGTTTTAACTCTATCATTATAAATTTATTATAAGAATACTCAGATCGATGTTAATTCAGCCTGTAAATAGACTGATAAGAATATAAAGCTGCTACAGAAGCACAAAAAAACTTTTCTATAAATTTTCTATAAGTAAAATAAACCATCTTGAAACAATAAAACCATCTTTGATTTCATATTTAATACCTTATTTAAGACCCAACATAAATAATCCTGATTGTTGTAGCTTTCTTCAGCTGGATCATGTTTTTGTGCAGATTTCTGCTGAAATGATCTTTAAAATCCGAACTCTTCCTCATTTAAAGAGGTGATATGATGAGAGATCTGCAGCAGCACAAACACAGGACAAACACAGTCATATTAGACCTCAGACTGAGTGTAACTGTCTGTTTTGACCTCTATAGTGATAGTGGGGAGGTGAGTTGTGACTGTAGTCCCAGTGTGTGGCAGACCAGAGTCAGATGACGGATGTCTGACCCGCAGGAGTGAACTCTCTGAGCGGCTTTACATCGTAGGTGTTTAATTAGCAGTCTGCATTGTTTTCTAAAGTCACCCAAACTGTAGCGTGGAGAGCTTTACTGCCCCGCTGCCATGAATAAAGCTCCGTTATTACATGCTCTCAACTATATTTTATGTTTTATCCATATTTTCTTCGTTTTCCTCCTCCGGAGCTGAAACTCCACAGCGTCTCTCTCCCACCATCCTTCATTTGGACGAGACACGAGTGGGAGGTAAAAGACTCACCTGTTGATTGTGATATTGCTGGCAGGCTTCGGGTACAATCATTCAACATCTCGCTGTTTCTTTCCCTCCTTTTTTTCCCTCCAATTTCCTTTTACTTTTTCAGATAAATTCTTCCTCTAACTGAAACGAGTGTTAAACACAGACGAGAGCAGAGCTGTCCCGGGGGCCCTCGGTGGCTGGTATAATGAGAAAACCAAAAAATGAAACCGAGCCTCATCAAAAATAAATTATAGGAGCACTTGTTCTCCAACTGTAAACACAATTATGCCATCAGAGCAGTCCATGTATCTTCATCCTTGTTAAAACGGTCGAGGGCAGAGGGGCAGGGAGATTTAGCCGAGTTATAAAACTTAAATCTGTTTGTGTTTGAAACGGCAAAACAAGAAGGAATTATCTTCACAAGAAAGCAGTTTTAAACGTTTATAACAGAAACAGTCTTCAGTTAGTCACACATTTATGCTTGTGCGTATTGTCATTAAACGACAAAATAAGGAAGCTGAATCACAAAAGGACCTTTAACGTCAAATATCGTGTGACTCTGAACCCTCACTATCTATGCAATAACAATAAAAACAGACCAGAACGCCCCATCTAATCCGTTCAGAGAATAATGAGTGTAGTGTGTAGCCCTGGACTTGACTCTGAGCGGAGTTAGATGGAGTTGAGTGCTGGCAGTGCCCTCGTACAAAAACCACAGAGTGCATTTCACAGCTGGAGTGGTGTCAGATTCAAGGTTCTGCGGTCCGCTGTGTGGTTATGTTGAAACCACTTCACAATCTGTTCAATTTGATGTTAAAAAAAAGATATCAAAACATGCATTAAATCTGTATTTAAAAAGTCAGCTCTGCAGAATGTGTCAAAGCATCAAGTTTACTGACCACCCTCGGTGAGCGGTGAGCAGGAACAGGAAGTGGGAAAAAAATCCTCCACGTCCATCAACATCCACTAAAAAAACACAGACTTTTCCTTTAACGCTGAGTCATTCGTGTTGTCGTTAATACCTGCTCTGAACGCCCGGCTGTCTTTGCTGCTGCTCTCCTTTCCTGTGTGCACATGACAGGAAGGGGCGTGAAGCCAACCCGCCAAAATAAAACTCACTTCATGCAGATATTAACGCCCATTGGTCCAGACCATCGATTGTATAAAGAATAGACGCCGCCTGCCTCCTCGCTGGGTGAATATCATAGACTGTATATATTATGGACAACTTGGTTCCGCTTCCCACCTGTTTTTGTACCTGTATACCTGATTTCTCTTCATTTCCTGAAACCAACATTGCGCAGTAACATTGTACGCATTCGGTGGGTGAGTTGCTGTGATGATGCTCGGCTCAAACAGTGTATCCCCCAGATGAGCTACGCAATCCCTGAACACCAATAGGCTGTATCAGGGATTGTATTAAGTTTTGCACGTTGGTCTTCCCTTTAACATTTGTATTAACATGACAGGCTGCTTGCATGTCAGCTGATAAGGAGCTCAAGAAAAGAGTGACCCTGCATCCCAAAAGTCTCTTATTTAGGACCCTAGATAGCTCACCATTGAGGCTCTCATGTGCTCTGGATAGATGTAAAACTTTATCTAAACCTTATTATTTGATAATAATGACATTTATCATAGAGTTTAAGTTGAGAAATGAAGGTTTTGATAAGAGAAACCCTCTGAGGTTTGACTCGGTTAGAGCTGCCACAGATCCATTAGCGGTTTTAATCCGTTTATTTCTTGTTTTCTGGATGAATTCATCTCTACAACTCTAAAAACAAAGAGTATTCTGACCACACTACAGTGTTTACTGATGAACAAACAAACATGTCGTCTCCATGTCGGATATTTTTAGTGCTTAGCGTCCTCTCCACACAGAGCCCACTTTAAAGGCTGTATCTGGAAAGTATTACGTTGTCAGAGGAAATTCATTAGTTGGATTGCCTGTCTGAAGATATCTCAAAGGCTCAGAGTGACTCTTTATTAAATTTGGTGGACAGAAAGCCTCGGGTCATGGAACAATTGTCTTGGAATTTGGGAGTGATCAGAATCAGGGAGGTCCGTTATTAAATGGTAATTGCTGTTTTGTTTTCAGCAAAACTCTGAAATTAACCTAGATGGAGACTGGATTTCCAAATCCTCTGGGTGTGTTGGCACCGGCAGAAAAATCCATTAACACACACGGTTGGAGTGGTTTGGACCTGTCTTTAGATGTAATGGAGGGGTAATTGAAGGAGCGTGAGTCATTTGCCTGTTTGTTAGGGTTCGACTCGCCGCCGTTAAAACTCTATTATTAAACATCCAAGTTTGAAGTGGCGTTATAATCACGGTGAAGAAACATCATCACTAAACGGTGATTTATTCCTCGTCATAATCAGTCCTCTTTCCTTCGATTTGACCTTCAGGTCGTCCAGCTCCTGCTTCTGGCCTAGATCCCTCTCTTCCACCACGATAACCCATCACTGTCTGCACGAGCTTCGATTGTTGCCTCTTATTCTTCAGCCATCTATCGCCACACGCTGTGAAAAAGTGGCGTCACTCGCCAATAATCTCTAACGGAGACAAATTTACTCCAATCTTCGTATTTGAATCAGCTTGATTTAGTGGCGTGTTTAGTTTGGCTACTGAATCACATCCCCTCGTAAAAACGTCATCTATATTTGGACTTCATGGTGAGTTATCATTTGTTAAATCCTCGTGTTGGCCAAACGCGCAGACAGATTGTCCCTGAAGTAAAGTAACGTTTGTTTTACAACCTGAGTCATATTTTTTTCTATTTTTCAATTCTGTTATGACAACATTTCACACGCCATTACTCAGATATATGAACAGAGTCACTCCGGACGTGACTAAACAAAAAAGGTCCAACGCATGAGTCATTAGAGGGGGTTTAATCACGGCTCAAATAACCGTTCTTCATTAGGTGGATGACTTTTCTGTTGGACAGAAATGTTTGTTCCCAGAGAGGGTTGAACTCCTTGATTAATTTCCATTTTTTGAGATGGACCAAAACAACCAAAGTGTCCACATGATCATTCAGGCATCAGCTCTTGAGTCTAAATCAAAGTACAGCTAAGATGAGAGTAAACTAATAAGAGGACTGAACCCAGAACTCAGTCTGGACCATAGAGTAGCGGCAGGAGAGTCACTGTAATGACACTCGGCTCAAACAGGTGTCAATCGTAGAAAACATGAACCCTCTAATAACTTTTAAAAATTGAGCTGTACAGAAAAAGAGCACAAACCAGTCTTACCCAATTCCTACCAGATCCGTTTGTGAGGCGAATTTCGTGGCGGATTACAGACAGCAGGAATCGCTAACAAGCTGTCTCTGTAAAGACAACCACATAGACATACAAGCAGTAGATCGTGTCCTTCCAACAGAGGAAATCTACTTTAGACTTCTAGAATCAGCATCTCCTCATCCATGGTGTCATCGGGGTGAAATGACGTCTACAAACCTTTCACTTGTTCGTCTCCGCCCATTTGCATGGTGTGAAATACGATCCTCCTGAAACACGGAGTGTTTTATTTTGAAAAGAAGCCGGATGTTTTATTTTGTGTCTGTGCCCGACTTCCTTTCCAGCACGGGTTAATCTGTACTGAATTTATCCGCCATGCTCCGGCGTCCGGGAAGAATAGAACTCTTGTGATCAGCTGAGGAGTCCAGCGATCTGCAGCGGAAAGAAGCTGGTGGAAATTGACACGTTAACTTAAATGGTTACAATCAGCTACGATCGGAGGATACGACCTTTTGGTAGCCGTTCTGGATGCGGTGGAAATTGGGGGTAAAAGACAACAAAGAAGGGGAAGACGGAGACTTTATACACACTGGGAAACAAGAGGTGAGACAACAGAAGTAAAACTAGACTCAACACACAAGGACTGACTCCTTCAAAATAAAACAGGAAACACTGAAAAAACTGAACTAAGAAACCAAACAGGAACAGAAACAGGAGGATAAAAACAAACTAACTACAGGGAGCCTGTCATAAACTCAACGCTGAGCTTCAACTCCTTGGACTGCGTATAAGAAGTTTCATTGACGGTGCTCCTCTCCATCCTCACAACGGTCGGCACCATATCAGTAAAACATGAGAAAGTAAATCACATTACAGAATCAAACTAATGTTCAATCTGATGACAACCTCTTTAAAGCCGACGACCAACCCGGGTGTTTTATTCATAAGCAGAAAGTATCATCACTACTTTAACATCTGAGCGTCTCCAACTACAGGACAGGCTGTGTTATCTCTGCCAGCTGATCCCTGCTGGCTCAATTATTTCCCTACAACACTGTGTTTGATGCACAAGTCCCCCGTCTGCGGCGGGCCTGTGTTTTTGACTGCGATGGAAATAACACCAGAGAACTCCTGCGATGAATGCTTAAGTGAGATCACAGAGACTGCTGTTGGTTTTCTAAAGACAGCGAGCGCTGCTTTGAAGCCTCACACTTCCTGTGAGGTAAAGGTGAAGATAGGATACTGATGATGAGTTTTTGCTCAGTGTGAGATATTTCAGATTTGGCTGGAATATATTTCTCTGTTAATGACTCTACTTTTGTTGGCTTCCTTGGATTATAGATGTTTGCTTTTCCTTTGAGGCGGGGAGCTTATTGTTTTTGACAAACAAGCGACATGAAACGAAACATGAATACAATAAAACAGAGAGACGGTAAACAGAGCTCGTCTCTGTCTCTGTTATCATCTGTCCTGTGTTTCTGTAGTTTCATGTTTATCTGACTTTATGTCTCTTCACATATGTGTCCATGTTCGGGGATTGTTTTCATCTACGTACTCGCGTGTGTGAGTAAACCCGTGCATATGGCTTCAGTTTGATCTCGAACAAAGTGCTTTTTGTGTGATCTTCGTATGTGTGTGCGCTCACATGTCGTCTGCATTAAGGACTCCATCATAAGAGGTGATCTTTTCCTTAAACTCCTGCTCATTACACACTCAGACCCTGCTATTATTGTAATAATGAGTCAGCGCTGCAGAACTTCAGCACCACTTAAAGAAATGAAACACGGGGATCTGCAGAAACAGGACCAGGACCAGGACCACGTCTTTCTTTGCTTTTACAACACTGCAAGTAAATCCAGTCCACAGACATGCAGTAATTGAGTGCATGGCTGTTTTCTTTGTAAATGTACTGTTTGTTGCTGACAGTGTTGTAGAAGAATCACCAGACCGGGAGACTAAATCGAGTCCCGGGTCCCAAATGTTCAAGTGCACAGAGTTACCGGTTGTAGTCCCGAAACACGGTTCCTCTCATGATGAAGAGAAGCTCTCTTTATTTATCGCATCCAAACCGAAATAAACACAAAAACATGGCCCATCTACCACAAATATATTTATATATCTTAGAGCGAAAGCTGGAGTGACTTTTGGGACTAATGTCACCACAAACATCAGGCCCAAAAAATAACCTTTGATATGTATCCTGGACAGACGTCTGGTAAAGTTTGACTAATCAAACCGTCTACCTATCTACCCCCAACATACACTACCTTGCTTCCTTCCTACACTCCTTCCTACCTACCCACCTACCTCCCTACCTAACTACTTAGTTCCTGCCAACTTACCAGTGTTCCTAGTTTACCTTCTTATCAGCTTCTTCCCTATGTTTCCTTTCTCCTTCCTTTTGTTTCTTCTTCAATTCAGTCTTTCCTTCCTACACTCCTTTCTACATACCCATTTTACTATCTATTTAACAACCTACCTATTAACCTACCTACTTCCTTTCTTACTTAGCTACCTGCTTTTTTACATCCTACCTCCCTCCTCTACTCAACTTTATCCCCTGCCATTTTACCTTTGTTCCTAGTTTACCTTCTTACTTATTGACCAGCCTCTTCCCTACGTTTCCTTTCTCCTCCCTTGCTTCTCTTTCCTTATTGTAATTTAGAGTCATCATTTAATAAACACAGAACAAATGTGTGATAATTAAATAAGTTAACAGATGTATGGAGTCCCTGTTTTTTGGTGACTGTACACTTGCTCGTCTGTGATTGGATATATGTGGATATATGTGTTGGGTTAATCATGTGAAGGTATCCTGCTTTAAAAACGCACTTTCACTCTCATACACTCATGCTAATACAGAACCATAAATTAACACAATATTGGCTCTTTCTCGTTTCTTGTTAAGGCTCTTTGTTTAAAAGAAAACACATATGGTTGCTGGTATTTGTCTCACTTAGATTTGCACTTATCTTTCATGGCAGCAGACAAAGAGTGTAGAGGTCTCTCTATGATAATCAGTCTTTATGCAAAGAATAAGTGAACACACGAGGAAACAATAAACAGGCGGCAGCAGCTTTTGCATTATCTACACTTTAATGCAGTATGTGCCTCTCTGTATGTGCATCAGCGCGCAGGTATAAATGCATGTAGATATTATGAGTGAACAGACACCTCGCTCTCACAGCGATTGACTAAGTTTTTCCGAACACGATGCCTCTCCATGTGAAAAAGTCCCTGCTAATCCCTCTGCATTTGGCTCTCTGACTACAACAACAGCCCCAATCAGGCTCGGGTTTATCCAGCCCAGGACTCATTAGCTTTAGTCTTGTTTGAGTGGGCTTTAAACCAGGGGCCCTGACACTGCCTCCAACAGTTTCCATCCACAGGGGAGGTGCCCGCTGTTTGCAGACTCTGCTCTGGGGTGCATGCTCCTGATCTGTCAGCGGTCACTGGGTTCTGTTTGGAAGGTGAAATTATCGGAGGCGCCTCCTGGCAAACGCTTCAGGCACTTTAAACCCTGCTACTATGTTTGTACGCAAATATGTGTGTGTGTGTGTGTGTGTGTGTGTGTGTGTGTTTGAATGTGAGGGGTGTGTGTGTGTGTGTGTGTTGGCTGAGTTTTTTTTCACACTAAAGGGTCTGCTGGACCGTGAGTCAGTGTCTGAATATTTCCACTAAGAGGATTCTGACCGTTTGGACTTTAGTTCGTTTGATAAGAACTTAATCTGACAGAGTGAGAACAAGCAGTTATCCTGAAAACATTTCATACATCATTGAAGATCAATATTTCAAGTGTAATCTGAGAATTATTAATTTGATAATCTAAGAGTGGGAAATAAAAATCCTTAAAAAAGGTTAGAAACAAAAACCAGCTCTCTGTGTTTGGACTGGAATGAACGTAAAACTGAATCTGTCAAACCAACAACCAGAAAAACTCAGATTTAATATTAGATTTGACTAAACTAGACTAGATTAGATTGGACTAGACTAAACTAGATTACTGAATTAAATTACATTAGAGAAAACTAGGCTAGATTAGATTAGATCAGGTTAGAGAAGACTAGACTAGTAAAGACTAGTAAAGACTAGAATAGTGTAGACTAGATATGAGAAGACTCTAGACTAAACTAGATAAGACTTGACTAGACTGCAATAGACCTGACTAGACTAGACTAAATTATATTGGATTAAATAAAACTAGGCTGGAGTAGATTAGATCGACTAGACTAGATTTAGGTAGAAAACAGTGAACTAGACTAGAATAGAATAGATTAGGAAAGACTAGATTAGGGTTAGTAGACTACTTAAATTTAAATTAGTGAAGATTATACTTGATTAGACTACAGGGGAGTGGACTAGACTGGATTAGAGTAGATTACATGCATTTGGACTAGACTAGATTAGAGTTGATCACATTAGATTATATGAGATGGGACTAGACCAGACTAGATTAGAAAAGATTACATTAGATTGGACTGGACGAGTCGAGATTAGAGTAGATTACAATATCCTGGCCTTGACTAGCCTAGACTAGATTAAAGTAAATCATATTAGATTATATGAGATGGGACTAGACTAGACTAGACTAAAGAAGACTAAGCAAGACTGGACTACACTTGACCTGACCTGATCACACTGGAATGGACTAGAATAGATTGGAGAGGACTAGATTAGACTAGAAAAGACTAGGCTGGACCAAATTAGATTAGATAAGAGAAAACTAGACTAGACTAGATTAGACTAGACTAGACTAGATTAGATTAGAGAATTAGAGATTAGATAGGACTAGAACTCAAATCAAGAGTCTAAAATCGAAAAGAGCAAAAACAAAACAGTGTTTCTGATAAATCCGTAAATCTTACTGCATTTTTAAAGGTAAAGTGAGAGTCCTTCAGAGACGTTAGTTTTTATTTTTAAAAAGTTAACATGTGCAAAAATCTAAAAGCATTAAAAGGACAACTTCAGAAATCCTAGTTGTAAAATCAAACACACACACACAACTACACAAACCCTTTATTCAGCATTCCCCACGACTGCTGAAGAACAGACAGACCAGACACTTGACCTTTTCACCAGACAGCCCTGACCCCAAAGACTCCATCTTTGCTGATGTTCCCCTGTGTGCACGGCTCCGTGTTTGTCTTTGTGTCATTTGCAGTGTGTTCATATGCCAAAGCGCTCGTGTTAAACTGCGAGAGGATGGAGGGAAGGAAAAAAAAAAAGAAACAAACTCTGTCCTCCTCACCCTCGCTCGGCCTCCAGATTCAAAAAACACTGGAGGAGATAAATGTCCTATTAGTATGTAGCTCAGACGGCGGCTCTCTGCCACTCCAGCTGCTTTAATCGTTTAAAGTATCAAGACTATCAACCCGTCAAGCAAAGCTACTTTGTTTTCTACGTT